GATGCAAACGACACTGGAGGATATATTGATTTAAGAACTCGTCTGGCCTCAGTGCATTCTTATCCAGAAAACACAGCAATTATTTCGTGGACATCAAAACAGGAAAAACGGTCATTTTGGATAGGTGGTAATGTAGTGAAAACCTTAAACAAATACATGAGACCAATATATCTATTACACTGGACTGATGGGAGTCAAGCTGATTTCAGTTTTATTAATCTACCAAATGAGGAGTTATCATCAATGCAAGTAGGGGAGAAGCGTTGTTTATCTGTGGACTATATTTCCGGTCATTGGGGCTTACACTCTTGTTCAGAAAAAAAATTCTATCTATGTTTGACTACCCCAGTCGTAGTACCAAAACCGAGTACAAAACAAGGGGTGAGTAATCACTCGGATTCAGTTAAAAACAAGTCTGCCAAATTCACCTGGCCTATTGATGATTTTCATGGATGGAAAAGACCATTAACTACAGAGGAACTGAGAAAAATTTTGAAATGATGTTTGTTATTATTTGTTAAAAATAAACTCTTGAATTCCGTAAAACTTTCCTCTTGTATCGAGAGCTTAGCTTAAAATACATAAATTGCATTATCAATAAAAAAACAAATAAAAATAATTTTTTAAGTATATTAAAACTTTTTTAAGCTTTAAAACTTAGTTATACTCCAAAAATTTAATTTGACCTTGAAATTGTTTGGTATTGTTAATTAATTAGGCGGCTGGTATGTAATGTTTAGGTGTTTCGAAGGCCTTCGGCACTTGTGCATTGTGCCTTCGCTTCCAAGAAACGTTAAATTCAATTTTCTTACTAATTTAGTGATTCCTATTTTTAAGCACTCACTCGTTCTTGCTCCTTGCGTATACCTGACTCTTATTTTTATTTTTTGCTTCGAATGCTTAAATATTGCTGAATTTACCTCCACTGGAATCACGTGCTTTTAAACTTGATACTAAATTGCTTTCTGTACCTACTTACTTATTAGTTTAATGGACATGATTTCAAATGTGTCATCTTTAGGCAACAATAACATTACATTACATTATGAAACGAACGCAAACAATTGGTCTGACTTTTCAAATGCCTGCACTTCCGAGGAGCTTGAAACATTTAACCGTGTTTATTCAAACTCTATTAACGATGGAAACTTGAAGATATCCTCTATTTCAACTTCTAATGCTTTTCGTGTATCTGACTCGGAATATACCGACTGTGTTGATGAACTGACCCATCGAAGTGGGAATAACTTTACATTCTTTGACAATAGCAGGAGACCCGATAATTATTTACGAGAGATGGATGTGGGTGTTAACTCAACGGATTCTAGAGTCTTTCTTTTGAATTCAATTGTTCCCTCCACCTCATTTGAGGCCGTTCGTCTTAATGATTTTACCGCGTGTTCTTCCCAGTCAGGAGAGTTTCGAGAATTTATTCGAGCTTCTCAAGAAGTAAATCAAAATAATGTCTTAGGTCCGGTTGATAAACGCCGTAAGCAATCTTTATTACTCAATTCTCAATATAATGCTCAATTTGCTCCTCTTGCATTCTATGGAGACTCATGTTGCAGCAGTGGTATCAGAAATTCGAGTTCAGATGCACAAATAGCTGGTGGAAGTCTTAATCGAATTGTGATGAATTCTACTGACACTTCCAGTTTATCGCCTTCGGACTCTATTTCATCCTGCCACAATCTACATCCTGTTTATATTGATACTGGCCTG